AGCCCTAAACCCGAAACCCGAACTGCAGGTGGAGCAGTGTGCCAGCGGCGCCGGGGTCTGAGGAGCTTTTGTTTTCGCCGCAGCTCCACGGGGCGAGAAGATTCAAAGTATCTTTCACAGGATTCGTAGATCCATAAAGCCGACTTTTCTAGCCAACAGCCTTGTACAGACCAAATGAAGCCCGCAAGGGTTTCAGGTTCATGCAAGGGTATAGGTATAGGATGTGGTCCTAGTATTCAGGTCCCCAAGCACTAACCCTAAGGGTCCATGTCCATGTCGCTAAATAGGGCCCCAAATATAGGAACCACTTTACGGACAAGGTAACATTATTGTATTTGAGTACACGCACCCTTAGGGCCGTAGGGTAACCCAGGGTAACACCCTGATCCGAGGCCATCTACTGCCAGATTATCGATTCCTGTCAGCCTGGCAGCGTGGCCATGCGCAAGGCGGGTGCGTTTCGGGCCTTCTAACACTCAAAACCCCGAGCCTGAAATAAACCGTACATTAAGGCTCCTGGACCCTCGTAGTGAGATCCCAAACCTTAGCCCCCAAAGCCCAAACCCTCCCCCAGAAAGCCGGCGACCCCCTTAGGAGCCTTAGGGTAGACAGTGAGATTTTGGTGGCAGGGCTCCTTGAGGCGTACAGTTCAGGCTTTATTTGGTCTAGACTTCATTATCCTCGCTGTGTATATTTTCAGAGTGCTGAGTTTAGTTTATACGCTTACTGGCGCGCAAAGGTTTGTTGTGCTGTTGAGCTTTGAGTTACGTTGAGAGTCTATGACATCGTCCATGCATACGACCCTCATGGAAATTCAGCCCTTTTCTGCTGTTGGGAACCTACTTCCGTAGGTGCTGGTACATATCGGCCCTTGAGAGTAACTTTGCAAAAGGAGCCCGAAGCCCTAAACCCTAAGCCCCTCAAACCGACAAACCTACTGTAGAGGCCTAAATAATCAGAATAGGGTGTTTGGGGGTTCCTTATTATGATTACAGCATGTTGGGCCTCCAACCCCTATTCTAATTACTAAGGCTCCTATACCATAGTACCTTTATATATCCCTTATAGCCACCCTTATAATGCCCCTTTAAAGGAACCCTTGAAGGGAACCCTATTCTGATTATTAAGGCTCCTATATTAGGTTCTCGAAGGTGTGGGCAGGGCAGGCTGGCTGGTGCTATGTAACCGGCTGGTGCTATGTAACCGGTTGTTGCCTTCGTTGGTAGGAATGTGGGAGTGGAGGAATCTACCCTTCTATCCAGAATCATAAGCTTGATGAACCCCTAAACCTCTATCTATCCATCTATCTATGCCTAAACCGAAATGAAGCATCGCTTCGTTTCATGCCGTCCTCCGCGCGCAGCCTCGGCTCGTCTCATTTGCTGGAGCTGGAAGCTTGTAGACTGTACGCAGAGGCCCCATACTTTTTGGGGTTCATATTTAGAAATCTACCCCTGAAATGTGGGGTAAGTGCTAAACTTAAACCCTGAGCTTCAGGGTTCAAAGCCGCAGATCGACCCCGCAATGAGAAAGCCAGCTTTTCAAAGCCTAGATCCCCAAATGTTTGACCGGAGAGACCCTAAACCGTAGACACCGCGACCTTAGGGTTTACCCAGAGGCTCCATAGTAGTTCCTTTTGGGGATTACCCTATAGGATTCTATATATGAGCCCCAAAAAGGAACTACTTTGGAGCCCTAGGGTAGGGGCAGGGTTTAAGGTTTAGGATGTCCCGGGTTTGGGTTTTCTAACCTTTACAGTGGAAGCCCAAAAGTTGGAAGCCCAATAGCCTAAGTCCTTAGGAGTGGTATATGGGGAATCCCAGCACTCTTTGGCCTTAATCCGGTTTCCAACTTTATGGGGTTTGCTCCAAACCGTAGACACCGAGACCCTGGACCCTTGCCCTGCTTGAAGCTACGCCAAAAGCCCAGATCTGCATAGTCGGCTGCTGTTCTTGGGTCCCATACCCAGAGGGTCCAAGTACCCAAATAGCAGGATTTTAAGAGCCCAAAATCCATACCCTGAATGGTTTTTGGACCTTGAAACCCTACTATTTGGGCACTTGGACCCTTAGGGATGTACATCCTCTAGAGAGTAACTATAGTATAAAACCCATTAATGTGGCATACTAGGCTTGTGGAGCAGCCCCAACCCTACCCAGCCCACTGTACAGTCAGCACTCGGAGCGATACAAACAGGGCCTTAAGAATTAGACTGGGGTTTTAGGGTATACTGCGCAGATATACTTAGAATGAGGCGAAACCGTGGCGAATTCTAGTTGTTAAGGCCCGTAGATTAGCAGTCCTCATTTGGCATCGAACCTCACCGATGTGGTGCACCCTGGCATTGTTGCTGGGCGAGGGGTTTCGGCTTGAGAGTTGGGCCTTAGTCCTTAGTCCTGTTGTTACGGATTCAGTTCCTGTAAGGTTTCGGCCTTTCGGTGTAGCCATCGCCAGAACATGCTCGATGATCGGGAAGGTCATGTCGGAACGCACATGGGACGTCCAAGGAGTAAGGCTCCGGCCCTGTACCCCGACACAGGGGTGGAGCGGGCATTCAGTCGGGGTTTTTCTTGGGGCATCAGATCCAAGTCACCCGAAGCCCACCGAAAGTTCCCTGGGGCTCCATGTGGGTGGTTGTCAAAATTATGGTCCCTTTTTGGGTCCCTAATATAGTACGGCACCTATTATTTGGGGTACCCCAAAAGGGATCATATTTTTGACAACCACCCATGTAGCTATGGGTTTCCTTTAAGTAGTTCCTTTCAGGTTCAAGATGAAATGCTGCGTGTACGTATCATATACTTAGACCTTGCCTATTTGGGAGCCCCTTGAAGGCCTAAACCCTAAAGCGCGTAAGTATAGACTCTATAGTCGCATGGAGCCTTGGGGTTAAGGTCCCGATACCCAAAATAGCTACATCGGTTTAGGGTTTAGGGTCCATGACTTCTGCGGCAGTTTTTTGGAACTGTACCTGAAATCTAAGTCGTAGGCCAGAATATACACCAAACTAAGCCCAAAGCCCCCAGCCAAGAATACTTTACTACGGCACACCTGCAGATTAGAACACCAAGCCCATAGATCCCCATTTCAGAAGCCCCTGATTCACAAATGTCTTCGAAGTAATATAGAGGTCTTATAACTCGAAAAAACAAGTAATATGCCTTATAAATTAGAAAAGGGTTCTAGCAAAGGGCATTATGAGGGTTTCTTCAAGGGACCTAGAGTAGATACAGTTCGATAGTCTAGGGGCCTTCATAACTAGAATGGCTTTGGGGACATAGCATGCTCTGATTAGTCATTATAATACGGCCCCCCCAGCATTATAGTATTGGTAAGTATTGAGGCCCCTATAGACCCCGTGACCCAAGTAAGTTACCATCTGGCAAGCTGCGCAAAGCTGTTGAACAAAGTCGGCCCCTATATCAGCTCCCCCCACTGGGAATGCCCATACAAACCCTGGCAGTATGTCTGCGATCTACCCTGAATGAGATAAATAGAAGAGACGGTTCTCAACAAGCATGCCAGGGCTGCCTTGCGAAGGGTGGCATGTGCGCCTGCGGCGAAGGTGGCCCGTGTGTGTTGGATGAACCTGTGGATCCGCTAATCTGTTTTTATCCTACAAGTATCGGACCATAATTTAGTAGCCGAAGGAGAAGACTGTACACTCTTTGGGTACTAGTAGCAGAACTGAAAGCGTGTACTTTTGTGGGCTTCGGAGCTCGGCAACTAAGACAACCCGCCTTTTTTGGCAGGATTGGAGGCTACTCGAGGTTTGGGACTGCAGGGTGTAGTGGGCAATGAGATTTCTTTCCTTGATGTAGGCGATCACAGCCTCATGGAAGCAATTGCTGTAGACTGTACTCCAAAGCCCTCTTCTGTTCGTGTCGAGCCGTTGTGTCAGCGCCTAGAATTCTGAATAACTACAATACTCTTGGAAACTGTTCAGACCCTCTTTGCAAACATCAGAACAGCGCATACAATGCTGAAACGAACATTCTCGAAGAGTCACAGCCTTCTGATGCTCTGTAGCCAGCAACCATTTCTGCTTACCTCGACACGTCTTCAGCATTTCAACCCTGAAGACCCTGTTCGATTTATGTTGTCCTGTACACCCAAGACTGCACTTTGAGCTGGGTACTCAACCCAACCTACCTGGAACTATGAGAACCTGCTCGGTTATGGGGTCGTTGCAAGTGCATGTGCTATGTTAGTGCTCGTATTTTGACACCAGTATAACGACAATTGCTGGGGAGCTTCAGGCAAAGCTTAAATCCCAAACTCTAAGCGGGAAGTCCTTGTTTGTCTAATGTCAACGTGAAGCCCCACATCCTACGCATGTTAACATAAACTTTTGTCCCGAAATGCAAAGCCTTAAAGGGTCCACATATCCTACTGTTATGCAGGGTCCCAAAAGCATGACAAGATTTGGTCTGTTGGGGCCGCATGCCACACTGATAGTAATTCTACTATAGGGACCTACAGTAGTATTGTCCTCAGTATAATTATTCTATAAAGGAGCCCAAAACCCTGTTCGAAATACTAAGGCCCTCGCTAAACCCTAAACCTAAACCCTATACAGGCACTCGCAGGGCTCTACTGACCAAGCCCTTCTGGAGCCCTCAAGGTCCGCTTATCTTGGAACTCTAAACCCGTTCGCGGAACCCGGGTTTTTGGGCTTTAAGGTTTAGGGTTTAGGGGCCGTGAACCGTTAATTATGAAGCCCTAAAAACACCCCTTAGGTAATAAGGCCACTATAAGACTGCTGAAAGAGCATTAGTATCGGCTTTCGCTGAGAGTCTCTTAATACGATCATAGTATCAATATCGTCCCCCGAAACCTAACCTGATTCTCATCGTTAAGACCCTTTATCAAAGACCCCAAACCCTAAACAATAATTGTTAGCTCAACTGTCAAGACCCTTTCACGGACCGCTTGTGGATCCCTTAAAAGAACCCTTATGCTACCCTTAAAGGCCCTGAACCTTAGCTGTGGAGGTCGCCATGGAGGAGCTTCGGCCCCTCGCCGGGCAAACGCGCTCGTTCTACTTTCCTAGGCCGGACGCAGACCGAAGAATTTATAGGCACTGTAAAAGCTTTAGGTTTGGGTTACCTAAGGCTTTATAGGCACTTCAAAAGCTTTAGGTTTGGGTTACCTAAGGCTTTATAGGCACTTCAAAAGCTTTAGGTTTGGGTTGCTGTAAGGTTTGATAGAGCTCGTATAGCTCCATGAGTATGTAGGAGGTTCAGGGAGTTTATATTTGGGTGGTTATAGGGTTCATTAAGCTGTAATGACTAAGGTTCTCTTCGTGGTAGCTAGGGGTACTTGTAGGGTTCCATAAGGATCCAAGTTCCCAAATAGTAGGGGGCTAGGTCCCGAACGCTATTCACTAGTGACCTGTTGGACCTCAAAGGGGGCACTGGAACCGTTGGGGGTTCACGGTTTATGGTTCAGGGTTCATGCAGGGTTTGGGATGGAGCGAGGAACCCAGGAACTCAAAAATGTAGACCCATGTATCATCATCTCAATCCTCTCCTTTCTCAAAGACCCGACGGACTCAGATGTGCAAGTGGTGTCGGATCTACTTGCCCTGAACCCTAAATACTACACCCGACCTACAAACCCTCTACCCTAGGCCCTAAACCCTTAAGGAATATGCCCTTAGAAAGTTAGCTCAAGCCTTTGGAGGAAGCTCTGGGTCGGGTGGCGCATACGCCTCGTCCGACACCGGCAGGCCAGACTTGGCATCTGAGAGCCCTGAAAGTCCAATGTATCCAAATAGTATAAACTTTGGCCCCAAAGTACCTATACAGGGACTACTATAAGACCAAAGTATATAGCATTTGGGCACATGGACCCTTAGGGAGCTGGTGAGGTTTCGGGCTCGGACTTTTGGTGGCGGGTGTAGGGTTTGGAGTTTAGGGGGTTTGGTTTGGGGTGTGCTTTACTTTACGGTTTAAGGATTTTTTTTTGGGGGTTTGTGGCTCGGGAGATTAACAGCCTTATGGTTCAGTGGCTAAGGCACTCTGACTCGAAAGCCTTAGCCGCTGAACTCAAAACCATACAACAGTAGGCTGCGACAGATTTATTACAGCCAAAAAACCCATACGCTATGCTTCCAGAGACCTTGTATTTCGGGCCCTCTAGCCAATTTAAGGACCCAACAAGAAGGTCCCTGGAAGCCTAGGGATCAACAGTAGGGACTTTGAGCCTGAGGCAAAGTGTCGATCCTGGGCCCTCCGCCCTCAACCCTGTCTGAGCACTAAACCCCAGCCTCTAAACCTTAAACCCTAAACCCCTCCTGGGAGCTCGAGGCCCCCCCAAGAAAAACAAAGCTCTAAACCCTAAACCCTAAACACCCCACACATCCTACAACCCTAAAGTCTAGGCCCTCAACCCCTTGGTAACTCCGGAGCCCGAGCTCTGCAGGCTGCTTGTCGCCTCAAGCGCCACCTGTGGCCACGGCGCCATGACCCAGAGGAGGTGAGCGCATAAGTAAGGTGTAGGATACACTATTGTTTTCTTACTACTATAGTTCTTCTTTTCGTTTTGAATCTTCTTCTTGTTATTAGTAGTTTCGTATTATTTCGTATTTATTGGTACTATCATTATCATTGGCATACTGATTATTATGATTACTGTTATTCTTCTTATTGTTGCTTTATGTCTATTATCAACTTGTAGGTGTACTAGTAGTAGTCGTCGTAGTAGTAGTAGTAGGAGGAGGAGGAGGAGCTTCGGGGAGAGTTCTGCTTAGGCTTTAAACTAGGCTCGGAATAAATAGATACAGTACACCCCCTTATAGTGGCAGCTATGAGTAGGGTATATACAATATATACCCCAAACCCGTTGTTACAATGAAGGGCATGGGTCTTAAGGGTCCTTGGGTTTCGGATTGAGGGTGTAGGACTTCGGGTTTTGATCATTTAGGGTTCACGGTATCACCAGCAAGATAGGATCTCAAGACCTATGCTGGGCTTATGTGAGGTCAGTTCAAAGGCTCAGCGGGCTTTCACCGGGTTTCGCATTGATCCGAGGGCTTCTGGGTTTTTTTGACAATGACAGGAGAAAAAAAAGCATCAACTTGTCCTAAAGCCGGTACCTTTCAACCTCAGCCTTAAGTTTAAATCCTCAACCGCCAAGCCCTGCTGAGCCTTACCTCGCATGCATCGAAGGAGCCCATCTTCGGCGACAAGGAAGACATGGTGCTCTCCTTCCGTGACGAGGCGGGGTGTACGGCTAGGGATCCAGGCAGGTTGAAGGACGGGTTATAGGGTTTGGGGTTTAGGGTTTAGGCTTTAGGGGTTTAGGGTTTAGGATTTCTGTTAGGCGTCCTGTTATGCAGGATCTTATATACGAGCGGTACGGAATGCTCTCAGGGGTCAAGAAGAAGTAGTGAAATGGTCGTGCAGTCCCTCTTGTACATGTATACTACTAGAGTATACTCCAAACCTAGTTTCATCCTCAAAGCCCCTATACTGAAGCTTTACAATACCCCTTGTCGTAATCCTGTTTGAAGTAATTAGCGAAGCGAACCCTAGAGCAAACCTAGGCCCTAAACCCTATAAATCCCTCAGCCCTAAACCGGAGGGGGCGGAGCAGAGGGCCCTGAAGAGGCTGCACCAGAGGGCGCTGTAAGGGGGCGCATCTGGAAGCGAAGCGATGTCCAGTGTCGCGCCGGAGGCCGAGCTGCACTTCACCCTAAGGCTCCATGTACCCATATAGTACATACTTAGGCCTTAAAGTACCTATATAGGGACTACTTTGGGGCTTAAGTATCTACTATAAAGGTACATGGAGCCTTTGGGAACGGCTCCAGGAGGAGCGCGAACGTGGTCATCGCGGCCGGGAGCCCAAAGGGCTCCATGTACCCATATGGGAGTTTCCAAAAATACTGGGCTTTGGAGTACCATACTTTAATACTTTTTTCTTAATGGAACCATTATGAAATAAAAGTTTATACTTTTTTCTCCCTGGTTACTTAAAAGCCCAGAATAGGGGTAACATATTATGTAGTCCTTATAATAAGGATCCTACTATTTAGGGTACCATATTAGGGTCCTCTATTTTCGGAAACTCCCATATAGTAAGTACTTAGGCCTTAAATGGGTCCCTATATAGGTACTGAAAGGCCTAAGTACCTGCTATATGGGTACATGGAGGCTACTGCGAGGTATCACCGCGAGCTGGGGATCGAACGAGAGGTGGATAGACGGCTGGGAGTTTCCGAAAATTAGGGGTACCTTCTTTTGGGGTCCTTATAATGAGGATCCTACTATTTAGTACTATATTTGGATATTAGGGTCCCCTATTTTTGGAAACTTCCGGCTGGGGCTGCGTACGGCCGAGGGCGAGGCACAGCGTCGGGTTGGTACTGGTACTGGAGTTGCTTCTTCTGGTTCCCCATAGCCAGCAGAACTCAAATAGTAGGCTTTTCAAAGGATTAAAGTTTATCTGCTTCTTCTGGTTCCCCATAGCCCGCAGAACTCATGTAGTAGGCTTTTTAAAGGATGAAAGTTTATCGGGAGCCGAAATAGTTCCTTTTTGGGGTTCATATTTAGAATCGTACAAGGCAATCCCCAAAAAGGAACTACGATGGGGCCTATGGGTAAAGTTTATCGGGACCCGAAATAGACCCCTAAGGGTCCAAGTGCCCAAATAGTAGGGTCTCAAGGTCAAAAACCATTCAGGGTTTAGGGTTTAGGGTTTAGGGGATTTAAAACCCTACTATTTAGGTACTTGGACCCTCTGGGGACCTACAATTTTTGAGGGTTGATGTCAGGAAATTCCAAGTCCAGGAGCCCTGAAGCTGCAGGTTTCGTAGGGTTCAGCTGGGGTTTATACCCTAAGGCTCCATGTACCTTTATAGTAGATACTTAAGCCCCAAAGTAGTCCCTATATAGGTACTTTAAGGCCTAAGTATGTACTATATTGGTACATGGAGCCTTAGGGATAGGGCTTACGAGGCACTTCCTATGTAACTATAGCGTATTACAGGAAAATAGACACCGGAATCTTGTTCTGATCATTCAGTCCCCTGTTGGGTGGTTGTCAAAATTATGGTCCCTTTTTGGGTCCGTAGAATAATACGGCACCTAATGTTTATGGTACCCCCCAAAAAAAGACCCTAATTTTGACAACCACCCCTATAATTATGTTGTTATTGGGGGTATCACGGACCGGCCTTGCGGTGCAAAGGGTTTAGTTCTTGAACAGGGCTTTGGAGTGATGACTGGCTGCGCTCGTGGTGCTGTTCCCAGTGAGTCCTGAGTACCTGGACTGGACCTAGGGTTTATTTAGGGTTTATATATGACTTATTTAGGGTTTATATAAGGTTCAATACGGTTCAAATTTCATAGCAGTAGAACGTAGGGTTTCTAGATGTGTATATGGCATGGCACGACGCTTCCTTGGTTGTGGGTCTTGGGGGTTTCGGGTGAGCTTGAAGCTGCACAGGGGAGCCGCCTGAGCGTGAAGAAGTCCTTAGCCCCTAACCCCTAAAACCCGAAATCCCTAACCCTTAAAATTGTGCAAGACACCCGTAAATCCTGACAACGGAAACTCCTGAGTGCAGGGGATCCGCATCAGCGAGAAGAAGCTGAACCACTATGCGAAGCTCATGAAGAGTAAGCAGCTCCAGGTGCAGACCAGACATGCCACAGGGCTTCTTAGGAGTTACCCTAAGGGTCCATGTACCCAAATAGTATATTATATACTTTGGCCCAAAAGTACCCTAATTGAAGGCTTCTTATAAGGATTTATAGTTCAGGGTCTATAGGTTTGAAGCATCCTACTGGTTCTGAATCCGCAGTATTCAGGGTCAGCCAGGTAGTACTGCATCAGACTGTGCTACCTGGAGTTTGTATCAAAACGCTAATTAAACCCTAAACCCTGAACCGCTAGTCTCGAGACCGGCGAGACCTAACGCCCAAACCTCCAACAGAGCTTTGGTCTTGGCGGCGTTCGCGCCCTGTTCGGAGTTGAGAATGCGTTTCGGACTGAATCTAGCAGTACATCTGGGAGTCTCCGCAGACAGGGGGACCCCGAATAGTAGGATCCGTATCATAAGGACCCCAACACCAAGGTACCCCCACTAATACTTTTCGGAAACTCCCATTTGGGAGTTGCCGAAAACAGGGGACCCTAATATAGTACCCCAAATAGTAGGATCCTTAGTATAAGAACCTCAAAAAATGAGGCACCCCCCCCCCCCCCCCCCCCCCCCAATTTTCGGAAACTCCCATCCAAAAACTCTTGTTGGATGGCTGATGTATATCAATCCCCATCCTGGAGTCCCAGAGACTGTTCAGTGCTATCGGGAGGACTTCGTTTGCCCCGGCATGCTGTTTTTGGCCGCTTCGTCATTCAAACGAAGAAACGAAGAGTCACAGCACTTCTCCGGCCACCATTTGTTATCATGACTTGTGGCATGCTCCAGCCATCATCACCGGCATCATCATCATCACTATCATCATCATCGTCATCGCCTTCATCATCACGTCATCATCGTCGTCATCGGGTTATCATACAGATTTCCGCTGCTTGTTTCCGTGGCTTATAAGTTCAAGACTTTGGCTCCCTGTTCTATGAAGAAAGAGGAGATCAAAAGAGTTAAGGTGCTCTTCCATATTCCAATCTGAAAGAGGAGACTACAAAGTTCAAGAAAAGATGAGACTACAAGAGTTTTGAGAAAGAGGAGACTGAGAGAGTTTACAGATGAAGAGAGCGGAGACTAAGAGAGTTAGGGGGCTTCATGAAACTCCTCTTCTGACTTCGCCTCGGCGTTTCACGAGCCTGGGAGCTCCTAGTCGTCCTAGCCTATGAACCTCGCTGCTTGGGAATCAGGGTTTAGAGTTTAGGGTTTAGGTGCAGTCCGAATTAAACCTCTACCTTCATTGCTCTACGGGCAGACTGACAGTGATGGGGTTCAGGGAGGTGCAATATAAGTCCTGAGCCACCCTCACCTTAAATCCTAAATCATAAGCCCCGATTTAATACACCCCTAAAACTTTGAGCTTTACATTTATATCCCATTAGGACGCCTACGACTGGATCGACTCGCTAGCCCGGATGAAGTCAGCAGCTTCGACAGCACAAACGTCGGGATGTTTTGTGAATTCAGGGTTTTGTGCTTGGGTTTGGAGCTCAGGGGGTAGTTGTCTCTTCTTGTGAAGACGTCTTTAACTGCGAGGGTGTTGCTGCAAGAAACACTTCCGAATGTAACTGCGAAGTGGTCCTGGCATGCTTAACTTTCCTTGGGACTTAAGACTTTTCAGGAAGACTTGTGAGAGTTTCTGCATATTCTCTGCTTATAGAAAGCATAATGCGGGCCCTCCCTGGCCGAAAACCGCCGCATCCCACGAACTGCATCATGCATCCTCTTTGGGAGTTTCCGATTATAACGGGTACCGTATTTCGGGGTCTTTATAATAAGGATCTTACTATTTAGGGTACTACATTGGGGTCCCCTATTTTCGGAACCTCCTATGTGTGAGGCTGGTGGGGCCGGGCATTCGTTGCTAGGCAGGGGTTTGCAAACCCTGAAGCCTAGGCCCTAAACCCCAAACTCCAAACCTTCACCGGTTGTCTCCACCCCGGCGCACACGCTTACGCACGTTGACTTTAGGCCGATATGCGAAGCCCTGAATTCTAGATTGTTGTGTCGCAGGGGGAACCATGCAAACTACCAGACTTGGCTGACCATGTAGTACATAGAACATCAGGAACTTCAAGCAGGCCCACATCCCGGGTAAGGGTTCGGGGCTCGGCGTTGCAAGTAGGTAAACCTACCGATTCTTGAACCTGCCGAAGCCACTTACCGTAAACCCTAAACCCTAAACACTAAACCCTAAACCAGATGCCAAGAAGCCTTCAGCACCCTCACAAGGCCTTGCGAACTTGAACCGTCGACTCTAAAACCCCTCCACCCACACAGACAAAACCCTAACTAAGCCCGAAAGCCCTCAACCCCCCAAAACCCCAAACCCTCGAGCCTCAGACCTTTAAACCCCATCGCCCCAAAGCCCGAAACCCTAACATAGACGCCTAAACAATTACCGAGATCATTCCTCAGTGTTCCTTATTATAGTATACTGCAAAGGAGCCCAAACCCCCATTCTAATTGTTAAGGCCCTTACATTAACACCCTCAACCAACCAAGAGCCTGACCTCTCGGTTACTGGTTTAGAGTTTTGAGTTTAGGGGGGTTTTGAGTTTAGGTTTTGGGTTTAGTGGGTTTAGGGCTTTGGGTCTCGAGTTTAGGGTTTTGAGTTGAGGGTTTTGGGTTTAGGGCTTAGGGCTTAGGGTTTAGAGTTTAGGGGTTTACCATGTTTCGTATGTTATTATAATGGTTTCTCAAGAGGCTGGCTAGAGTGAGGGCTAACACGGGTGGCTAGAATAAATACTGCCATGAAAGACTCGGGCCCCAAAAGGCCATCTGCATTATGGTCTTAAAGATCTGGTCCCTAAACCCTGAAGCCTCAAAACCCAAAACTTAAGCCCCAAGGCCTAAACACATACTTAGTCCCGCAACTCTGAAGCCTTAAGCCCTATATAAACCCTAAGACCTTAAGCCCACCATGGCCTCGTGAGTGCAGCATAGACCCTAAACCCTAAACCCTCCCAGGAGCCCATCCTCAACCTGATCCAAAAGGTGGGGACCCCAGGGCTTTCGGCTTTCTAGTCGAGCCGGCAAAACCGGGTTTATGGTTCAGGGGTTAGGGTTTCGGGTTCAGGGTTTAGGGTTTCGGGTTTAGGGTTTAGGGTTTCGGGTTTAGGGTTTAGGGTTTAGGGTTTAGGGTTTCGGGTTTAGGGTTTAGGGTTTAGGGTTTCGGGTTTAGGGTTTCGGGTTTAGGGTTTAGGGTTTAGTAGTAGAGTAGGTAACCTTTAACCTTCTTTTTGGTAGTTTAGTCCCTATATAATCCCTATATAACCAAAAAGGTCAAACTTGCAGTTCCCCATGATACCCGACAAGTAGAGCTTTCTGTGGTTCAGGGACTCGATGTGTGCGAGACGTCTGTTTCAGTTGTGCAGTCCTCCTAAACCCTAAACCTCCAAACCCGAAGCCTTAAGCCCCCAACCCTAAAAACCCCAAACCCTAAAGCCCTAACTCCTAAAACCCCTAGCCCCTAAACCCCTTAGCCCTAAACCCTAAAGCTTGTCTTCTGTGGATTCAGACGGTTCAGGGCTTTCGGGCTTCCGGGCGCTCGGGCTTTCGATGGTTTATATAGGCTTTGGGGTTCTGGGGGTGGGCGACCAAGTTTAGGGTCTTTTGCATGTGTTCTTAAGGGTCTGCATGGGTTTCCGAGGTGTGTTTTAATCTTTTCCTGCCATTAGGTCGAAGCAGCTAGAGCCAGAATAGAACCTCTCGACCTGAATGCTGAAGCCCTAACGCCCTGGGCCCTTAACCCCTACACTCTTGACCCCAAAACCCTTGGCCTTTAATCCGACCTTATGCCCTACAGTGTCTTGACACAAAAGCCTCGGCCTTAAATCCTGATCCTTCAAACTTCCTCCAGGCTATCGACGACTGCAAAAACAAGCACGGCCCTCGGTGCTTGCCTTTTTCGGGGCTTCGCGCTTTTGGGGTTTAGAGTGAAGGGGTCTGCAGGTAATGGGTTTAGGATGGTGTAGGTTTTACAGCTTTAGGGTTGAGGGTCTGGTGGTTTAGGGTTTTGGGGCTTGGGGTTACTGCCAAGTGTAGAGGTGCCTCTGGGCCCATATAGGGTTCTTCGTCATTAGAAGATGGGGTACTGCAATATATTGTGCATATGAAATCAGGAACCCTAAGTAACCCTGCGGGGTACATATTACAGGAGATGGGGATTTCAACCCCAGACATTGTCGCGGCCGTAATCTTTGGGACCTGACTTAAAACCCCAGTGTTTGGGTACTTGGATCATCTAGGTAAACCTGAAGCCACATTCCCAAGCCCAATGACCCAACTACCGTGAATCCTTCAACCACTGCTACTACGTCCTCAGCAAAGAAATACTACTTGGAGGCCCAGGAAAGTTAGTAAGTAGGTTATAAGAGTTATAAGTATCCTAAATGGCGCTACCCCAATTAGAGCCCTACTTATAACCTATTTATACTAAGTCCCCTGGGCCTCCAAGTAATGAACCCGCAGATCGAAACTAAACCCAAACACCTGAGGGTCCAAGGGACGGAAAGCGCGAAAACCTAAAGCCCGCACCTAAAGCCTTACAGCTGGAAGCCCTGAAAAAAGCAGACCTCAGCATATACACCACACTCCCCAAGTGCCTAAGTGTAGGGGTTAGTGTTGAGGGTTTGGTTCAAGCTAAGCTTTCAATGTTGCATCGACCATTTTCAATAACCCCAAAACCCTAAACCCTGCGCCCTAAACCCTAAACCCCAACTGGTCACGCAGTGTCTCTCGCCAGAATGGCCTCGACTCAGACTCAAGCCGAGGGGCGCGATTATCGGGAGCAGAAGGTGAAGTTCATATAGTACATGGTATAGGTTTAGGGTTTAGGGGCATATACTACATGGTGGACCAGAATGCTACCAAGCCGGAAGCGATTGGCCTCTACATGTGGGAAAAGAAAGTCGTGCCCTCCCCCTACAGAGCCACCACCAATTTTATCCCCGCCAACACAACGAGGGAGGAGGCGAAACATGAGCCCAGCAAGGCGGAACGCGCCAAAGCAAGACAGGCTTTGGAGAAAGACAAGATGATGAAGATGTGAGCCTAAGGTTTTGAGGTCTGAGGTTTGGGGGCATTTTGGGGCTTGGTCCTGGTCTCCAACAAGCCGGAGTCAAAGGCATCCTGCAAGGCAGAGGCGCCTGAACTGCTTTGGGTGCCTAAACATCCGTACTACGGGTGCACTTGAACCTCAGGCTATAAACCAGAAACTGCCGAGCTCCTGGCATGTCGTGGGAGCGTTTATCGGACAAACCGATGGGCATGACAGAGAAGCTATGCTGGAAAGTTCGAAATTTACGGTTACCTTATTTTGGGGGTCCTTATACTAGGGGTCCTACCATTTCGGGTACTATTATATTAGGGTCCCCAATTTTCGGAAACTCCCAATCCCTAAGGGTCCAAGTACCCAATTATCAAATAACCTACATTACATAACTACTATCCAGAACCCGAGTACCTAACTATTGGGTCCTTTGGACCCTTAGGGAATGCAATGCCCATCACGATCAGACTTGCTGGCCAGGTTTCCCACGGTTGATGGTATAAATCCTGCATTACCCATAATGAGGAATATACCGTAATTCCCATAGTTTTGGGTCTTTAAGGTAATGCAGGATTTATATCATCAACCGCAGCTCCACGAGGGTGGTTGTCAAACTTATGGTCCTTTATTGGGTCCTTAATATAGTACGGCACCTAATATTTAGGGTACCCAAAAAAGGGACCATAATGGGCAAACCGAAACCATCCTAAACCCCGTAACCCTACAAGGGTCCATGAACCCAAATAGTATATGCTTTGGCCCAAATCTACCTATGGAGGTGATACAGGGATTACTGTAAGGCCAAAGTATAGGATAAATGAATACATGAACCGTTAGGGTAGTTATACGACCTGAAACGTTTCCATCACTGTAGAGGGCTTCTTGTAAAACTCCTAGAACATGCCTAGCGACCCGAAATCCTCAAGCCCCCTTCTTTTAGGAACCGAATAACACCCGAAACACTCTCTACAACCGCAAGAATGCAAACCCTCTCCACCAAACCCTGCAAGTCGCTGTTAAAACCCAACTAGGGTTTAGGGTTTAGGGCCCCCAATGACCAAGACCCCTATACATCCCTACACTAATGCTCAACATGGCCATAATCGTCAACCCTATAAATACGAGTCCCTGGAGCCAAGGGAGCTCAGAACACTCAACCCCGCACCCTAAACTAAGTTAGGTGCTTAAACAATTCAGATTTAAATTACCAAAACTGGGACACGTATTATTTGATTTTGAGCTTCCTGGTTGTTAGAGTTACGGAAAGGCAAACAATCGGGTGTTTCAGTATGGTCGGGTCAAACTATACTCCTGAACAAGGGCCCAGTCAACCCAAGTCACTGTGTCTCCTTGCCCCTCCCTAAACCCTAAACCCTAAACCCCTAAACCCCTAAACCCTAAACCCCTAAACCCTAAACCCTCCCTCCTGCAAGGCGCGGATGGGACTTGGCCAGGAGTGGACTGAATAGGGGTCTATCTGGAACTCCAGAAAGTTGGAATATGGATTAATGGTAGGATCCCTTATACGATAATGATATTCCAACTTTCTGGCTTCCACTGTAGGGGTCTAGGGACTGAGGGTTCAAGGGTTTAGAGTCTCAGGGTTGAGGTTTAAGGGTTTAGGGTTTAAGGGCTGAGGTTTAAGGGTCTAAGGGTCTACGGGTCGAGGCTTAAGGGTTTAAGGCTTACGAGTTTGGGGTTGCAAAGTTTAGTGAAGCCCTTGGTGTACTCTAGTGGAAAAAAGCTTCTTTCTATACGGGTTCTACAGGGGGGGGTGTTGTAGGTTTTACCTTGGTTCAAGGCCCTAGTTCTCAAACAACAGGGCTTTTACCCTAAACCCTAAACCCTTAAACCCTAAACCCTCTTTTGGCCAGGAAAGCCCAAGCCCTAAACCCGAAGCCGAACCACTACTTTGAATAGGGGTTTTGTGCCCAAGGCCCCAAGGCTCCATGGACCCATCTAGTAGCTACTTAGGCCTTAAAGGGGTCCCTATTTAGGTACTTTAAGGCTTAAGCACCTACTGTATGAGTATATGGAGCCTTTGGGGGACCTACCCTAAGGGTCCCGGTATCCCCTTATAGTAGAAGCCAGAAAGTTGGAACATGGATTAGTGCTAGGATCCCCTCTACTCTACCTTAAGGGTATGAGGACAACGATGTTCCAACTTTCTGGCTTCTACTATATGCGGTTTCCGGAATCTCCTACTGGAAGGCCTCGGGTTTCTGGGGGGTCTCACACCAAGTGCTGAGGATCCCCAAAGTGTTGGGACCCTGTTTAAGGTTTAGGGTGTCGCGGGTTTTGGGTTTTGGGTTTTCAGTTTAGGGTTGAGGATGTCGCGGGTTTAGCGTTTAGGGTTTTCGGTTTAGGGTTTAGGGTGTCACGGGTTTTGGATTTAGGGTTTTGGGTTTTGGGTTTTGGGTTTAGAGTGTCGCGGGTTTTGGAAAAACCCTAAGGCCCTACTGTTTGGGTATGTGGGCCCTGTGAGAGCCTCGGGCGAGGTTTGATTATAGCTCTAAGGTCCAAGTACCTGTTGTAATCATGTTATCTAACCACTGATATTGGAGGAGCTAAGGAGCCAGGGGTGATGATAATCCCTACTTAATAAGGAGCTAAAGAGCCAAGGGAACCCCAAAACCATAGGTTAGTTATATTGTCAGGTTTACTAAGCCGCCAGAGTACCATCCTACACGCACCGACTTGTCACATCCTTTGGAATGTTAGGGTAGTCTTCTTACCTTGGGTTAGTAGGGAATGGAAAAATGGTGGTAATAGTGTTTACTTCCGTGCAGGATCAAAACGTAGGCCGAGTCTACAGGTGGAGCCTGGAACCCCATAATATCCAAATCGCGTAACCCTGAATCCTACAACCTTGAATCCTGAGCCACATTCCTAGGCCCTTACCCCTTACCCCCCAAAAAAACCCTAACCCTTAAACTTGGGGGTAAATAGAAACAATGTTTAAATGTTGGTTATTATAATGCCCAAGAAACAGCTAAGATTATAATTTTTGTTAGGGTTCTAAGTTCAGTATAGTAAACCCTCAACCCTTATCTGCAGGACATACATCATAGAGGCTTGTCCTGGAAGGGGGCCGACAACTCAGGAAATGGCTGATATTGAGCTTGGCTTTAGGGTTTAGGGTTCAGTGCACCCGATTTTGAGGAAGGTGCTAGTAACTATAGTACGAGCACCTAAACCCCAAACCTTTCTACCCCTACTGTTCCACCAGTGGAAGAGTCAGGGTTCGAGATGCAGTCACGGAGGGAACCCTGAATACCTGCAGCCGGAGATCTATAGTGTCTTTAGTAGAAGCCAGAAATTTGTAACTTCAATCTCCTCATGCCCTTAAGGTAAAGCATAAGGGATCCTAGCACGTATCCTCCTCAACCCATGTTCCAACTTTCTGGGATTCACTATATTTCAGAGCAAGATCCAAAATTGGGGGTTTCGGCTCGTCTTGAGTATTTCGGGGTCCTAGAAACCCTGTAAGCCCGACAAACCCGATGATGCCATAACAGATCCTCCGTATAGAAACCCTTGAAGTAAATCCTACAAGCCCTAAAGCCCTACAGTAAACCCCATAGAGTGGGAAGCCTGATTAAATAGTGCCGGGATTCCCCATACAATACTCTTAAGGATTGATGCTATTGGGTTTCCAACTTTTGGGCTTTTACTTTACTGTAAAGCCTAAGCCTGAGCAACCTGGAAAACCCCGTAGCTTGTAGTTGCATGTCGTGGTTTTGGTGCCCACAGTGCCAGAAAGCTTGAGCATAGATGTGGCGACACGATTCAGGGCATTTCAGTTATTGGTCGTGAACAAGGGCCTTCATGTTACTGCAGACCCCCTTCGGCAATTATCTCCAAACACTTCAGGGTTAAGGGTTTAGGGTTAGGATATCGGGTTTAGGGTTTACGATATCGGGTTTAGGGTTTTGGATTTCGGGTATAGGATTTAGGGTTTAGGATAACGGGTTTAGCATTTAGGATTTGGGGTTTCGGGTTTATAGGGTGATCTAAGAGTTAAGCCTGAAGACGCCTGGCTCGTTTAAAACGGTGGGCCCCAGTTCCTACCTTTCTTATTTAACTCGTCCTCGTAATCCTGAGCAAGACTACAAAACCCTACCAGTGTAATTAAGCTTTCTGAGGCCCTCAAACCCTAAACCCTAAACCCTAACGCGCTAAACTCTAAATCCCCGGAAGCCCTGAGGCTCTAGGTCCTAAACCCTGGACCCTAAATCCCAAACCCCTAAACCCTAAGCCCTGTGCCCCTTACCCTGATCATTTTGAGGCAACCTGTGAAGAGCCTGCGGAAGCACTCGCGCGGAGTCTACGGCATCATGAAAGCTCCTAGGAGCGGATCTTTGGTTGAGGGTTTCGGGTTTTTAGGGCTTAGGGGTTTCGGGTTTTTAGGGCTTAGGGCTTGCCTTTGGTACCAGTACTAGCACTATCAGGCTCTTCAGGGCACCATGAGGGTGATAAAGGGATCTATGAGGGTACGTTGGGCGTTGGGGGTTGTATAAGGGTGTATGCTGAAGGTCTTGCAGGGTTTGTTGCGGCTAGCTCAGGTTATTGAGCTGTTCACACGGATCAGGCTTGTTTCTAGGCCCTAAGTGCGAAACCACCCGAAACCGTTCAGGGTTCAGGGTGTGGGACCTTTAGTCGTTTCGTGTTGAGGCTGAGTTAAGGTCGTTCAACAGGATATTTAGGGCTTAGGGTGTGTAGTGAAAGGCTTCCGAAGGGTTTTGGAGGTTTCAGGGTCCAGGACATGTCCAAGGTGGCTATGGACCATACCAACGGGTCCATGTATACTACCATTGTGGCATTAGGCTCCGAATTAATATCATGGTTTTAGGGACCCATTCCTGAAAAGGTAGTGTATATGGACTTTAAGGGAACTGCAAAGGGACCATCCTTTGAATCTGCTCTCCACATTTGTTGACTACGAAGGGAATCAATTAAGACCAAGGTTCGCTGTACGTACTATGCCGCTTCTTGCAGGCTTCGTTCCTGCAGGTTTAAAAACTCACCACGCTTTCTGTCTCGAAACCCTAAGCCTTACACGTGTGTCCTCGCTAACCACAAACGCAGAGACCTGTAAAACCCCGAGCACGCCAATACCCTAAACTCCTAAACCCTGAACCCCACCAGCACCCCCCGTCTCCCTTCAATAGAGCCCCTATGGTCCTTAATAGTGGTTACTTGGGGCATAATAGAATACTAGAGGATAGTTGGGGGTGCTGGAAAAAAGCCCTGTTTTTAACACCTAAACCCTAAACCCTAAACCCTAAACCTTTTCTTCTTGACCCTAAGTCGCAAAAGCCGCAGGAACAACTTCCTCTTGCGTGTGCGGCAAGTACCCCTCGAGGCGCCTCCTATGGAGTTTTTGACGGCCTTGGGTCAGGGTTTGGGGTTTAAGGGTTTAAGGTTGAAGGTTTAGGGTTTAAGGCTTTAGGTCGTTTAGGGTTCGGGGGTTTGGGGTTTAAGGGTTTAAGGTTCGAGGTTTAGGGTTTAAGGGTTTAGGTCGTTTAGGTCGTTTAGGTGGTTTAGGGTTTTGGGGTTTGGGGTTTAGGGTATTAAGGTTTATGTGTTTTGGGTTTGGGGCTTTAGGGTGTAGGGGTTTGGGTTTCAAGGTATGGGTGTGAGGCACATGGCAGGACCCTAACTTGTGTAAAGTGAAGCAGGGTTTGTAACCATTGGGGATTTGCATGAGTATGCCTTACGGCTCCAATTACTACAACTCTCGGTTACTGGGGTATATTACATTGCTTGGGCTCAAGTTAAAGCGTCCGACATACTTTTCAATCATCTCTGGTTTCGGTCTAGGGTTACTGGCTAAGTCCAAAGAAGGTGCTGCGAAGAGAGATAGACCTCAAGCAGCACCCTTTCGATGTTGGGGGTTTAGGGGTTCGGCTTTTTTCCGTTTGAAACCGCAAACAGCCCCCCGAAACTCAGCCCTCAACCCTAGACCCAAAAAGTACACTGCAAAAGGCTTGTAACGATCTCCTCCGACCCTTGATGGTTTCGTTTGAACGGGCTTTAGGGTTTAGGGTTGAGAGTTCCGGGTTTAGAGTTTAAAGCGGTGTGGAGTCGCAGCTGCTGGCCCACTGCCCCTTCTTCGGTGAAAAGTTTAGGGTTTGGGGCTTGGGTAAAAGATTTGTGCCGGGGGAGGGGGGTAAGATCAACTCAACATGAAGGCCCTACTCCAATTTGGAAACACTCTTTGAGGCAGGATTCCAGAAAACGATGCGAAAGTCGGATCCTACTGGTTTGTTGCAAGTGTCCTGTAATGCTAATCCTCGAGGCTGCTTAATTCTAACTCTTGCAATTATAAATCCCACCAAACAAAAACATCTAACCTCATTATGAAATGTTTGGGGCCCTCAAACAACCCGTAAACCCGAAAGGCTACAACCTTTAACCTAAACCCATGCTCCTGCTCTTGCCCGCCGCATGTGGGCTTTCTAGAGAAGACGGATACATACAGGGCGGAAAACCCTTAAAGGTCCATGTGCCCAAGTAGTATATACATTAGCCCCGAAGTATACGGACTACTTTAAGGCCAAAGTATATGATGTATTATAAGTACATGGACCCTAAGGGAACAACGTGTCCGAAGCCGAGCTGGTAACCGCAGATCCGTTTGCTCTGCCACTCATTTTGTCCGCACTATAGGGGCCTAACTAATTGCCTATACTATTTTGGGGGTTCCCTATTGTAGTTATACAAAAATGGGCCCCAAAACCCTTTCTAATTATTCACGCCCCTATATTAGCTTCCTTAAGCGGGGTGCCAGGAGTGGTTCCACCGGATGTACATCTACAACAAGGCAGCAGGGTTCAAGCTAGAAGTCTGTAATCGGCTTAGGGGACTGCATGGTTCTAGGCGTTCTAATTAAGGGGTTCAGGGGTTCTAGCGATGTGAGGTCAAGAGGTCGAAGGGTTCAGGTGATGGATCAAGGGTAGGTTTATTTGTTCAGAGGTAAGGATGTTCAAAGTAAAGAATCAGGGCAGGTTTGAGGGTTGAGGCCGTTTTCGGGTTTTAGAGGGTTTTCGGGTATGGGGCATAGGGGCCAGCTGCTAACCCCAAATTCCAAGCCAGTGACTTCGAAACCAAGTCAGGGCAGGTCCCCGGGAACCACTACCCCACAACTGCAGACAGTTCCCAAGAGGCTCCATACATACTACCATACTACCATTGTGGAGTTAGGCTCCCAAAACCATAGCAGGGATGGGTTTTTGAGGCCTGATTCCATAGTATAGATGGAGCCCAGTAGTTCGTAAGCATATACCTGGACCCCCAAATAACCTAATTACTGTTTTGAGGGTTCCGAATAATTAGGACTTCTGCATAATGAGTCCTTAGAAAGGTAGGTTATTTGTCCTTCGAAAGCTAGGTTGCTTGAAATTAAGGTATCCCAGGGTAAAAGGAGGGACCCTTAGTAAGGACCCATAGGTATATACCCTTTATATAGCCATTATATACCAATTTTATAGCCCATTATAAAACCCTAAACCCTAAACCCTAAACCCTGTCCCCATTAAGGGTCCCTCCTTTTCCCCTTTGAAGGGAACCCGAGCTCGCTGCCTGCTTTAACGTAGATATAGGGTTTAGGGTTTAGGGTTTAGGGCAACTATGAGGTGTTTAGCCCCAAGCATTTCTGTGGCAAGAAGGACGGTTCCCGGCGTATAGCAAAATCTCATTATCTGCCTCTGGAGCCACTAAATACCACAGAAGCCGAAATAGTTACCAGGGTTCTTCACCAGGGTTCCTTCTCATATTCACAGTATATAGGAGCCCAAAACCTCGCTGGAATCATAAGGGCCCCTATATCAGCTTCAGCTCGTTGCCTTGATTCCATCTCGAACATGCAAGTGGCTGTGTTGGCCTAGTAAGGGAGGTCGGCCTAATAAGGGAGCTCCCAAACTCTCAGCAGTTTGTCTGAGGTTCCTTAAAGGGTTTCTTAGAAGCTTCTTTAAGGGGGGGGTTAGGTAGTTGTCTGTAGGGGGTTTAGGCAGTCCTCTATATTTGAATTACTCAACGTATCTGCTCATGGCCCTTCCACGTCGCCTGGCTGTGGGCACTGCATTGATCCTGTCTGTCCTGGCCCTGGCAGTGGTGATGCGGGACCTGGGCCCTATGCTTTATGGGAGGGATGCTGACGCTGGGCTTTGGAGTACCATACTTTAATACTTTGTTCGGGACCTGTTACTGAAAGGGAAGCACAATGAACAAAAGTCTATACTTATTTCTCCCTGGTTACTTCAAAGCCTAGGATGTCTCTGAGACAGAGAGAGTGTGCAAGGGCCCGAGGTTGGTGGTCCACGTGGGGCCGCACAAGACAGGCTGGCCTCTTGTTAAGTTTAAGGGGTTTAGTTTAAGTTACCATAATTAGGAAAGGAATGAAATCGTAGTTTGTATTGAAGATTCCTATTATGGTAGCTAGGAACAAAAGAAGGAAACCATACTATTTACTAAACATTCCTATTGTGGTAACTTAACTTCAAGCCCTTAAGAAGAGCCCAACAGGAACCTCGGCCTTTCAGTACTTCCTGATGAGCAGCTGGGCTCTCGTTAAGGGATTTAGTTTAAGTTACCATAAGAGGGATGTATCGTAAATAACATGGTTTCTTATTATAGTAAGTAACTGAAATTTATAAATCTCTTAACCCGAACCCAGGCAATGAAGCTTGGCTGCAGAACCGGTGGGGTGTGAGCCTGGGATTTCGTGGTAACCCGAAGGCCACGGGAAGAGATATTGCCCGACCGATCCTGAACTCAGATTGTGCTGAACTGACAGATGGCAAAGCTCCCGGGCAAAAGCGAACGCGACAAGAGCTAAAGAAGGCCTTCGACTATACAAAGTCGAAGCTGGAATCCTCTTCCATTGTCCTCTTGTCCAGCGAAGCGTTTAGTATCTTCAGCAGCGATGACTGGGAATGCTTTTCGCATTTCATGGGAAACGGCACCTGCCTTTCTGCAGTGGTGCTACACCGGGACACGGCAAATTGGATGGCATCGGACTATGCAGAGACCACAAAGAACACGAGCAACCTGCCCGTTTAGGGGAAGCAAAACCGAGACACGATCTCACGTGTAAGCTGCTGGTCGGAGTGTCTTTTAAACCTCTAGATTCTAGGCAACCCTGCCACACCCCAAACCCTGTTGGCATCTGCAGCGGGTTTGTCTCGCACAGATCTCGTGAGCTGTTTGTGAAGGAATCTCAGAGGAGCCCTCATCCGCACCTTGCATCCTCACTCTTCTTGTGAACCTGAGCATCGTAACATTTGCTCTCGCATGACGAAAAGTAGGGATCGGAACAGGTACTGCTACTAATGCTATTGGCTATTGCTGAGGGCCCCTTCTTATCATTAAAAATCGTACTGTAATGTACCCCACAATCCTATAGCAATTTTCAAGACTAACCAGTGGTTTTGGGGGTTCCATGGCTCTTTAGCTCCTTATTTAATAGGGATTATCATCATCCCTGGCTCCTTAGCTCCTCCAATACCAATGGCTAGAAGACTCCTAAACAAGCCGATCGGATTCAGTTAGCAAGTCAGGGTCGAGGCTCTCAAGATCTCAATGTGTACAGGTATCCCACAGACCTTCGCGCACTACCAGACAAAGATATTCGGCCGGAAGCCAGACAAGAATGGAGAAACCGACAAGCAGCTGCAGCTCTTGAGCATCTTGGAGGAGAAGTTTTCTCAACATGTGGTTGCTGCATCCTACGATTACTTGAAAGAGGAGCACTGTAGCGTGGCGGCCTTCGTGATCTGCAATGCCAGTCTCCGCATGACGGGCCAGTCATGGAAGGAATGCCGCGACTCCATTGACTCTCGATCAACTGCTGCACACAACTTGTCCCCGCCTCGCGCAGCAATTGATGTGGTGGTGCTGGCCAAAACTGCCTACGAAATGAAGCGGGCCTTGCGTCAAAACGGTGCCGCTCCGTGCAAGCCTTGGCCTGTTGTAAAACAAACGCCCCACGTCCCGAAGGGCACGCTGATCTCCTCAAGCCCTGCAGTGCTGGAGGCCGCGAAGCAACTACCGCTTAGGTGGGGGGCTGTTGTACTTATTTCCGACTCCTCTCCGTTCTCCGTATCTCATGTCTTGTGGTGTGGGAGTTTGGGTTTTCATGACATTGGATCCTCTTCAGGTGCGAAAGTATGAATGCGACGTTCCGCAAAGCGACGGACGAGTGGTTTGCACGGACGAAAGCAAGAAGGCCTCGGATGGCACCTTCAAAGCCCATGTGCAGGCTTGACGTTGACAACTTCGGCGCGGAACACTGGCGTGTGATCTTCAAGCTCTTGCCTGACTGCTGACACGCGCTCTGCGACCGGTAACGAAAGCACTGCTCCGGCTTGGAAGTGCTGTGCTGCAGGTGATTGCCCTAAGGGTCCATGTACTCATATAGTCTATACATTGGCCGGAATGTAGTCCCCATATAGGTACTTTGGGGCTCATGTATCTCTATATGGACCCTTAGGGTTGTGCAAAGAGTGTATCATGCTGACGCCGCAACCCTGAACCCTCAGACCCTGCACTCCCAAGTGTGGAAGCCTGGGGGAGTGATCTTGTCATAGCATTCAGGAGGTCTCACGAATTTCATCAACTGGGCTTCGGAGTACCATACTTTAGCACTTTTGTCTTAAAGGAACCCTTATGAAATAAAAGTTTACACTTTTGTCTCCCTGGTTACTTAAAAGCCCAGATCAACACATGAATTCTCAACCAAACCCAGTGCAACTCTACTTATTACCGACTTACCAAGTCCCCCGACCCTCCAAGTACTCGTAGTTGACTTGTATTGAACGAGCACATCACGAGGACAAGGTGATGTTGCCCCGGAACAGCTAATAAAACCCTAAGGGTCCATGTGCCCATATACTAGATACTTTGGCCCTAAAGTACCTCTGTAGGGACTACTTTAAGGCCCATGTATATACAATATAGGTACATGGACCCTTAGGGAAAGCCCGAAGGATCAGTCACAACATCAGAACAGCAGGTTGCTAGTCATACCTATTGTCTCCATTGTAGTTTCTTTTTTCATTCACCAACTCGATATTAGAGGATCTTAACCATAAGTCTGGTTAACGAAATAGAGAGCTACAGTGGGCAAAAGTATTATGGATACGGTCAACCCTAAACCCTAAGCCATGTGTCTATGTCAGCAGGCATGCGCCTCAAGGTGGCAAAGAACCACGATCTCTGGGCTTGGGAAGGGCAACCCTAAACCCCAAACCCTAAACCGTGCAGGTAACCTTTAACCTTTTGGGGCTTATATAATCTTTCTTGGGCTAGGATACTCAGCCTAAGAACCCTTTCGACACCGACTGAGGCCGCACAACACGAAACTTGCACGCCTGACTGTCTAGACATTGTTACCCTGAGGGTTTGGTCTTAAAGTAGGCCCTATATAGGTACTTTGGGGCCAAAGTATATACTATTGGCGTACATGGACCCTTGGGGTTATGAGGCCTCCATATCACGGGGAACGAGCGCCAGTCATTAAGCCCTGAAGCTATGCAACGCTGATGCCCCAGAACCCATGAAATCCTGAGTTCTACTTAATGTAGGCTGAAGTCCCTCGCATATATAGGCGTAACCCGGGCCCCATTTAACCGAGATAAGACCGATCTGTTACTCAATTGTAGGCCTCGGACACTACTTTTGATTTGGTTTCACGTGTGCCCGACCCTGAAGTTTGTAAACTCTGAAACAATAAAGTCCTTCTCAGCAAAAAATAGAGAGCTGGTTCAGTGGAGATGGGCCTTCACCCATATGCGCTGACACTGGCCTGCTTTGTCATTCTCTGCATCTTCGAACCACTGGCGAAGTTGGTCTTCAGCGTCGGTAGAAGAATCTTGCCTGGATTTCAAGGATTTGCCGCAAGACCCTCCTTTCATTCTCAAGGCCCCTGTACCCTAAACCCTTGTGGTACCCCGTTAAACGGAACCCCTGAACGGAGTCATTACGGACCCTATCTTGCTGTCTTCACAGGTTTATTTGGGGTTAAGGTAGAATGTCTGTTTGGGGGGCAGCCAGGGTTTAGGGTGAGCTACCTAGAGAGTAACCAATGTACCTGTCCAAAATGGAGATGGCCTCATAAAATGGTAGGTTACCCTTTCTATCGTGTACCTTGGATACTGTAGGTAGACCCTAGATAAATAAGATTTTGGTTACTCCAGTCTCTTACCTTAGGATTCTAGCCATATAACACTTATAGTCTTACATTTACCTATTTTCGGATGCCAGCCATCAATCAGGCTACTCACGAAAAGGTACATACTATCTACAACCCCAAATCCTAAGAAAGAGTGGGATGCCATCCGTCTGCTTTAAGAGTGCACATTTGTTGATCCCCATCTGGGAAGTTGGAAAAATGAGGTGCGTCCTTAACAGCTAAGGACCGGACAGTGCAGAGAAGCACGAGGAGAGGCTAAGTTCCTTCGTATCCGAGGTATCAGCCTCCTCTGTTCCTTGCAACGGCCCGAAGTTGATCCTGCATGTTGGGCCGCCAAAAACGGGAACCACGGCTATTCAAGAATTCCTGGTGAAGAATGCAGGCTGGCTTCAGGAGCAGTGGGGCATTACTGTGGGTTTTCACAGCAAAGGAAAGGCAGTTGCAGAGTACATTGTGCATCCACTTACCTACTTCTGCACCTGGGTATACTTGAAGACTTCTTTTGGATCTTGTTTCCTCATGTATAATCGCCATTCTCCAAAAAAGGGTCGGGATTGTTCCTTCTCTCGTTGGAGACTTCTGAGCCCAGGTAATGGGAAGACGGCCCTATTGAAATCCTTGCGGCTGTCAGAGGAAAAGGTGAGGCAGAAATTGAAAGACGGGCTGGGCTTTCTCCAGTCCAAGCTGAACTCATCTCAGCTGGTTCTCTTATCCAGTGAAGGCTTCATGGGGGACCTTTGTTTAGTAATTTGAAACGCTGCGCGTCGTCCGCCTCGGCCCGGCTGTACGCGCATGCGGCGAGTGGCTACTATCTGCAGCAAGCTCTTGTAGGAAAAAAGTAGCAGTTGGAATCGCACTTATAGTAAAAGTAATGTTCATAGCAACACGAAGCAGGATGATTGTGAGTAGTATTAGTAGTGGTAGTATCAGTACGAATTTTGGTGTCGTCATTCCGAAACACTGGATACCAAGACTCTCGCAAGCGGCGGGATGCCTTAAGTATGGGCCGTTGAGGCTGTGGATTTCATGGGCGTCTTGGATTAGGGAAGCATCACAGCCTTTTCAACCACGTTACTCAGCCTATCCCAACGAAAGGGCGTCTAAAACAAGCCTGAGACGCACATAAAGATGCTACATTGCAATCCCGTGTCGTCGAAAACTCCAGAAAGCTCGCACCTGTCAGCGAGCGGAGGAGGGGCGGGAGGGAAGGGGGAGTGGGGGGGGCGGGAGGGGGGGGGGGAGGGGGGGGGAAGGGGGGGGAGGGGGGGGGAAGGGGGGGGGGGAGGGGGGGGGAAGCGAAGAAAATTGGGTGGGACTGGTTACAGAAAGCCAAAATCCACTGTAGAAGGCGAAAATTCACCGCCGGCCTTGGGGTTCATCAGCACGTTTCTTTTGGGGGTATAGGAACCTCTGACCGCTTCGGCCGGGGCCGAGGCGAATTACCCTAGACAGTAGGATCCGTTTTCCTAGTGTTCACGTAGTTGTCTTGTCCAGTGAAGGCTTTCAGACCTTCGATAACAAGTCGTGGCAGTGCTTCAAATCCGAAATTGGGGCAGCCACCTGCCAAGTTGCAGTGGTTTTTCACCGGAATTCTGCGACCTGGAATGCAGCACGCTGGTCACAAGGCTCCAAGCACGACAGTGCGATGGCTGAGATGTTAGTAGAGTTGTCCGTGCTTGAGTTTTCGATTCCCGAAGCTTAGAGCTGCCAAATTCGGGGATATGACAAGTTGGGTCTGGTTCTCTTGTCCTATGGTTCGTTTGGTGTTGGGATATCCTGAACCCACAGCTTTCATCAGCGCCGAAAGACACGTGCTCGTTACTGTGCGTTGGGAGTAGAAGCAATAAAGTTGGAAACCGGTTTAAGGCCAAATCGAGCTGGGATTACTCATACACTACTCTTATAAGGATTGAGGCTATTGGGTTTCCAACTTTTGGGCTTCTACTGTAGCCCCACAAAGACCAAGGCCTGAACTTAAGCTGCAAGTCCACGATCGTACTACCTAGAGGCTCCAAAGTGGTTCCTTTTTGGGGTTCATATATAGAATCCTATAAGGGAATCTCAAATAGGAACTACTATGGAGCCTATGGGTAAACACTGGCATAATATAGAAGCCGAAGTGTAACTACCAAGACTGTTCCGCGGTGCTACCTATTAGAGCTATACCATAGCATTCCTCATAACCCTATTATTCTAATTGTTGAGGAACATTTAGTGTAGGGTTTTGAGTTGGGCCGCCAAATCCCTCGTACCCCAAGGCTCCCCGATGAGTTTCTCTTCGTATGTGGCAGACAAAATGGCTTCCCCGGTCGATGCACATGGAGACTTGGGCGCCAGGGTTGATCTGGGTTGTCCTTTGGGATCTTTTCCACTTCCCCTACTATTTTGTAAAGAACCATAGTAGTAAATAATTTGCGAAGGGCAAAAAGGACAACTCAGTTATTGTTTCGGATTTAGAGTTTATAGGGTGCAGAATGAGCTAGGGTGTGCCCAAGGCAAGTACTATTTTTCTGGACTTACAGCCCAAAGTAGGTCGAAGTAGGTATGTTTGTTTTAACTCGGAGTTATAAGGGCAAGAACAACAAGAGTTTCACCACAGGGCGTGCTCCACAAAGGCCTGGAATCCCCGACTAAAGTTAATGTTTATGATGGCGAAGGAGACAGCGACACGCAGCTGCAGCAGCTCAACCGACTGAGACCTTTTGACAGGGTGATTCCCGTTGCTTAGCAGTTGAATGAGTGCACTGTACACGTTTGGTGATGCCCGTATCCCTTAGAAGCTGCCCCCACCCTGTCATAGTGACTATAAGGATTATATTAGGACCCTATTATATTCCTATTATACCACTATTACAGGGTGGGGGCCCCTTCTAACGTATCCCCGTTTTCCCCGAAAAAACTAACAGTTTACGCTTCTTTGGGCTTATGAGCTCGGGAGCTAAGGTTTCCTATGACTATCTGAAGGAGGTCAACTGCAGTGGAGCAGCCTTCCTGATCTGCAATGCTAGCCTTGCCCTGACAGGCCCCTACTACCCCAAGGCCCCAAAGTAGTTCCTTTTTGGGGTTCATATATAGAATCCTATAGGGTAATCCCAAAAAGGAACTACTTTGGGGCCTCTGGGTAAACCCTAAACCCCAAGCCCCGAAGCCCTGAACCCTAAAAGCCTAAACTCTAAACCCCTAAAATCTAAACCCCTTGCCCTGACAGGGCCCTAAACCCTGAACCTCAAGCCCCTAAACCCTAAAGCCCTAATCTCTAAACTCCTAAACTCTAAACCATGCCTTGCCCTGACAGGCAAGAAGTGGCTGCAATGCCGGAACTCTGTGAACGGTCGCAGCTCGAAGCTTCGAAACAAGTCCCCACCGCATGCGGCAATTGATGTAGTTCGCTTGGCGCGGGATTTTTACGAGATGAAACAGGCAGTGCGAAAGAACACATCGAGATGCAAGCCCTGGCCAATCGGCAGGTGGAGCGACGGCTACTTGTTCAGACACCCTGATATGATGACATCTACGAACCCTGCCGTCATCCAGGTGGCTAAGCAGATCCCGGTCAAGTGTGAAAAGTTCGATGGCTTGTTCCACAGCGAGACTGAGAAGTGGTTTTCGCGGACAGGGGCGACGCGGCCAAATTCTGGCTCCAAGGACATCTGTACTGCTGATGTTGCTGCTTTCGGAGCAAAGCACTGGCGGTTGATCGGCAAGATCGCACCGCACTGCTAGCTAGCTTCTGAGGGACAAGAAAGTGTGGAAAGGATCCAACCCCCCTTTTGCACCGCAGCGAGATGACCCAGCCGCGGCCGAGGGCCTAAACCCCAAATCTCGGAGAATCGGACGAGTAATCGCTGGCAGGTCCAGCATGTATTCACATACCACACACAAGACGCCAACGCAGAGCTGGCTTCAGAAGACACAACATTTGAAAGGACTAGCTTGTGAGAGTATAGGCTTGTGTCTGTACCCACATGAGAGTTGGGCTTTTTCATGCAGAACAACCCTAACGTCTAGGCCCTGAAACCCCGCACCCTGACCCTGCTTGGGCAAGAGTATTGTTTTAGGGACTTGGCTTTAGGGCTTACTTTTTTTGATCCTTTGTCACGGAACTGAAATGCGATAAACAAGTGATCAACAAAACTCATTTGGTCGGAGTTTTTGGCAGGTTCACCAGGTGCTTGGAAACAAAGCTCGCAACTATAGCTGATGCAGGCGAAGTACTCCAACTACCGTCTATCATGCCCCAAACATCCACTATTAAGAACCATAGAGGCTCCATTGAAGGGTACTTGGGTGCTGGTACTGGTCGCAGTACTACAGTACTTGGAGGGTCGGGGGACTTGGTAAGTAGATCATAAGCAGAGCTATAAGTACCCTAAAAGAGATCTTACTTGGGGTTATTGTACTTATAACTATAAAATAACTGCTTAGTAAGTCCCCCGACGCTCCAAGTAGTGTCAGCCCAGACTCAAGGCGATAATGGCTCGGAGGAGATATTTACAAGACAAGGACACATGAGATCAGGGTCAGAAGTCCCTTCAAGGGCTTCTTGAAAGGGTTCCCTAAGGGATCTAGGGGAGATTGGGGTCTAGGCACTTGGGTAGTTCCCTTTTGCCCTTGTTCTTTTCGAGTCTCCTTATAAAGGGGCTACTCAGGAACCTAGGGGTCAAAACATCAGAACAGTATCTTGCAGCCATACGGAACAGACATCCGCCACTCGTGCATGTAGTCTGCTGGTCACCAGTGTGCTTTGACTTTGTCCCTATCCTTCTTCTAAATAGTAGTATGCCGTAGCCGTCGTGATACTGGTGGAAGTAGCTGTAGTAGTAGCAGCAGCAGCGGCGGTAGCAGCCTTTGGTGTCATTGTAATCGTGGTCAGCATCGTCTGCCTATTCCTTTTCTCTTGGTGGTGGCTCCATTCGTTCCAAGCCTCCATTACATTCCCGAAAACCCTCTGCCCCTCGCATGGGACTTAGTAAGTAGGGTTTAGGTTTCCTTTTAAGGGTACCATATAGGGTTCTACAATGGGGTTCCCTTTGAGAACTTGAACCCTAAGGAACCTGCCTTACTCTCAATCCTACGCTGCCGGAGGTACCACGCTCCGTAGCTTCGGACATGCGCTTGGCGATGCACCAGAAACGGGCTACGGGCCCCAGCAACCCTGTTCTCTGAACTTTTAGGGTTTAGGGGTTTAGGGTTCAGGGTTTAGGGTTTAGGGTTTAGGGACTTGTATAGTCTAAAAGTTGGAAACCCAGTAGCCTCAATCCTTAAGAGTAAAGAGCAGGGAATCCCAAGCATAGATTGTCTGTAACCCGGTTTCTTTCGAATTCTGCGACTGAGTGCTGTCAATGTTGGACCCTCATGAGTCTCTTTGCTTACAAGCTGATCTTTGTCATTATGGGAACATAAACCCAATAAGGAATTAAACATTCGAATTGTAAATCCTATCCCAACCATGAACTAGATGAGTTTCTTTGCTTACAGGCTGATAGGGGGACTACAACTGCTGTCTTAAACTTATGTAAGGAACTGATGATTTTCTTCATTGTTGGGTCTATCGACGTGCCTTACCGGGGTTCCTCCTTTGATTTCTTGCAGCGGTTTCGGGACATCCTGAATCACATGGGTAGTTCTCTACAACTATACCCCCCCTTAGAACCAAAATAAAACAATATTGTTAATATTCTCTTGGCTTTGATAGGAACAAAAATCAAAAAAATCCTAAGGACCTCGAAGCAGGTGAGGGTGTATAGCTGATTCTGGCAGCAGATCACGAAGCCCTCGGCTTGCGAACCCAACTAACCCGAAATGTTTAGGGGTTTAGGGCTTTAGGGTTTAGGGTTTAGAGCATGGTTTAAGGTATCTTGCTTGCTCTAGCACTGGCTTGCTGTCTTGTAAGTTTGTTCACCAATGATCCCGCTACAATACAGACCCGAGACCCTAAACCCCAGACCCTATCTTGCTTAAGTAATACAGAGGGCTTAGTCATTGGAATGGGGGTTTTGGGTCATAGTGTACCATAATTCTCGTACGAACACTAAGATAGCATTGGCGATTATTCAGGCTTCTACAGTATGTAGGATGATTTGGGAGTTTCTGGCCTCCGCTGCCATCAGGTCAGCCCGCAAATGGCGAAGGAGTGGTCGCCGTACATGTGCCCTGGCCGAGGGTTGCACGATTAATGGTTCAGTGTTTCCGCCCCTGATGTTTTTCAGTTTGTCGGCGGCTGTTTGTGATTTTGTTGTTTCGACGTTATATTCTATGTTTTGTGGTTTAGGGGTCAGGGCTTGGGATTCGGGTTCGTTAAGGATGAGGGTTTCGTATGTTGGGGCTTCCGGTGTACAGAACCCTTGTGGAGTGAGGTCTTGCTTGATGTTTCTTGTTGGCTACCAGGACCCCCCCACCCCCCTCCCAATGGCCCTTTGATAGAGCCCTGTATGGTCCTTAATAATTGGGGGGTATATAGGGTATATTAGAGGGTAGTTGGGGGTGTAGTTGGGGGGTCTAAACAAAACAATCTTTCGAGTCAAGGCGGTTTTGACATCGAAAAAAGGTGTCGCCGCGGAAGCCAGCGTAGATTTGTTGACACTTCTCCGTAAACCCGAAGCCACACGCACTAAAACCCTGAGCCCCCTAAACCTCAAGCCCTAAACCCTAAACCCGGCCGGGAGGGTGCATATGGATTGCAAGACAGGGCCCGTATGTGACTAGCAACTTGTTAACTACCAGGGCTTTGGGTTTGGAAATTTCTGTTCTTTGAGGAGCGCAATCACAAAAAAATGCAGTAGACGGCAGCTGTTCAATGACAGGCCAGCGACCCCAACTTCAATCTTAAGCTTCGAACCGACCCTGAAATGGGGGTAGATTCTGTTTTTCACAAGTTGGTTGCGGCAGCAGCGACACAGGTACGCAAATGGTCGCATGTTCCACCGCAAGGACTGGAATGAGCTTTGACAGCAGGGTCGCCGTAGGCTCTTGTTGCTCAATACTAGGGCTCTTGTTACTTGTTGCTCAATACGGCTTAATTAGGTTAGCTACGTACAATATGGTTGCTTAAAAAGCTCCACACTTTCAGTAAGTGTCTTTTTGTAACACAACTCCTGGGCTTCATTGTTGCTTATCGGATCTCTTCTGCAGATTTGTAGAGATCTGGCACCATAAAGTGTCCAAGTACAGTATACTTACGAGTTGACTACTGCTCAAATACTATCTACGGCACCTTATCCTAAAATTATGATACTATAAGCCAAATCACGATAAGTTAGGGTACCTCGGACCATCTTGCCGATGTAGCAGGGCGCCCCAACCCCCATATACCCCCCGATCCCTAGCCCTAAACCCTCAACCCTGAACCTTAAACCCCAATCCCTGAACCGTGAAGTTCCTGAGATCCCTAAACCCTAAGCCCTGCCTTAAACCCCCAATAACCTACATTTGCAGGAACTTATACAAGGAAATCATAAGAAGGAGCCCTTAAAAAGGTAGGTCTCTTAGGGTCCAGGTACACCCTAGCCCTAACCCACTTCTAGAACCCTTATAGATCCAACCCTTATAGATCCCTAAACCCCTAAACCCGAAACCCCTAAACACCTAATCCCTAAATACCCCCATGTAGAACCCTTGTAGATCCCTTGAAAGGAACCCTTCTAGATCCCTAAACCCCTAAACCCTAAACCCTAACCCTGAGGGTCCATGTACCCAAATAGTATATACTTTGGCCCCAAAGTACCTATATAGGGACTACTTTAAGGCCAAAGTAGATTTTATTTGGGTACATGGACCCTTAGGGTAAGCTACGGTTGATGATATAAATCCTGCATGACCCATAATGAGGAATATACCGTAATTCCCATAGGTTGGGGTCTTTAAGGTAATGCAGGATTTATATCATCAACCGTACCACCCTCTCCAGGCGAGTTTTTACGTTTGGAGCTGAAAGGGTTCCGGTCGCAGGGCTTCTAGAGCTTAGGGGTTCCAGGGGCCTTCGGGCTGTGGGTTTTGGGTTTTTGGGGGTTTAAGGTTCCTTTAAATCGGATCTATAAGGGGGTTTAGGGATTAGGAGTAGTTTAGGGGTTTTGGGTTTAGGGGTTTAAGGTTCCTTTAAATCGGATCTATAAGGGGGCTTAGGGATTAGGAGTTTAGGGGTTTAGGGGTTTTGGGTTTAGGGGCTCAGCGTCTTAGGGATTTAGGGGTTCAGGGGTTGAGGGTCTTACGGGTTTAGGGGTTGAGGGTCGCAGGGCCTCAGGGGTTTCGGGTTTAGGGGTTTAGGGATCTATAAGGGTTCCTATAACGGGATCTATACGGGGGTTTCGGGTTCAGGGTCTTAGGGATTTAGGGGTTGAGGGTTTAGGGATTGAGGGGTGTTAGGGATTTAGGGGTTTAGGGTTTAGGGGTTGAGGGTCTTACGGGTTTAGGGGTTGAGGGTCTTAGGGCTTTAGAGGTTTCGGGTTTAGGGGTTTAGGGATCTATAAGGGTTCCTTTCAAGGGATCTGCAAGGGTTCTATAAGGGGGTTTAGGGATTAGGTGGGGGTTTCGAGTTTATGGGTTTCGGGTTTAGGGTTTAGGGGTCTATAAGGCTTCCTTTAAAGGGATCTACAAGGGTTCTATAAGGGGGTTTAGGGGTGCAGGGTTCGCGTCTGCTCTTCAAGAACACAAAGCTTGGAGACGGTGGTGAGGATGCATCAACAAAGCTGCCCATGTACCCATACTGTTGATGGACAAACCCTGCATGACCCATTATAAGAAATATACCATAGTTCCCATAGTTTAGAGTCCTTAGGGTCGTGCAGGATTTTGTCCATCAACAGTATGGTAGGTACTTAGGCCTTCAAGTACCTATATAGGCACCCCTTCAAGGCCTAAGTACCCACTATATGGGTACATGGAGCCCAGCACGTGGAGCGGCAGCCTCGTGCCTGCCAAGGACATTGGAGGTTATGCAAACATCGTCACGTCAAAGAAACTCCAAGGGTCAAAGGAGGGACCCTTAATAAGGACCCCTAGGTATATACCCTTAATATAGCTATTTAGCCCCATTATAGGGTAGGGGTCCCCATTAAGGGTCCCTCCTTTTCCCCTTTGAGAACTGTTGGTGTCGGCAACAGACCACCCCTGTGAGAGGCTCAACCCAGCCCAGGATGATCTGCTGTAGAGCAAAGTACCTACATGGGTGGTTGTCAAAATTAGGGTCCCTTGTTGGGTCCTTATTATTTTTACGGCACGTAATATTTACACGTAGGGTACCCAAAAAGGGACCTTAATTTTGACAACTACCCATATAGTAACATGTAGGGATTCTACATTAGGAATTAGTATTTTGATTTTGGGAAGTATCCCCCATAACAATACCTGGGACTCTTCAGGTGTTTTGGTTAGTATGAGATTGACTCTCTTGAGGACACGAACAGGGGCCGACCATTGGGAAACCGTGCGAGGTTGGTGGGGATTGTCTTTAGCCGACTGATACATGATGATAAGTGCATACGCCTACGAGACAATCTCGCAACAAGTATGTGTTGCATACCGCCAGTACTGCGACGAAACGACGATTGCGAATGATGGGTGCTCTGATGATGATTTCATGATCCGTTGTGGATATGGATCTTGTGGTCACCCTACCCTATAACCCCAAAGTAGTTCCTGTTGGGGGTTCATATATAGAATCCTATAAGTTCCTTTTTGGGATTACCCGAAAGGATTCTATATACGAACCCCAAAAAGGAACTACTTCGGGGCCTTTGGGTAACTGCTGGATCAGTTGGAAAGCCTGCTTCCCCCGAGCCTACGTCTGCAGCCACAGGAGCTGAAATGGCTCGACAAGACACGGCAGTTCGACTACTACAAGGTGCTCTCGGGTAGCCTCCACATTGCTTTCAACGTTTAGGTTGCGGCTTGGGACAGAAACTTACGCCTAAACCGTTGAGATCATGAGATTTTTGGGAAATAGCCGTGTTTAGGGTTTGGGTTCAGGGCCCCAGTAGTCTGGCAGATGTTTCTACACTGCAGGAATTCGTTTTAGTAGTAGCGCAGCACGACGAAGTTTGCACCACAGGCTTCCAGTCTAAGGTGAAACAAGCCTAAGGGTCCATGTACCCAAATACTATATTAGCTTTGACCTTAAAGTAGTCCCTATATAGGTACACTGGGGCCAAAGTATACACCATTTGGGTACGTGAACCCATATGGCAAGATCCCAAACCCTAACCGCCAAGCCATGAACATACACATTCCAAAAGTATGTTTCATGCACTCGCTTGGAGCTTCCCTGCTGACCCCCTAAGGGTTCGAGGCACCCAATAACTGCATACTTGAGTTTAGGATGGCAGTTGTGTAGGATAGTATTTCGGTGAGTCGATGATCATGAGGTATTTGGCCGCTTAGAGATACCCAGAGACTCCAAAACCCCTTAATTAAGGAATATACCATAAGTTATATATGAAGGATCCTATTATAATTTAAGGTATATTCCTTAATTAAGGGATTTTGGAGTCTCTGGATAGCAACCCATTGTTCCATACATCCTAAACCCAGAAGGACCCAGCACGTATACATAACTAGTCAGGGCCCCTTGCCGATCCTCTGGACATACCGGTTGCTTCAGAGACCACCCCACCCCGTAGTTTAGGGTACCTAGTTTTCGGGTTTGGATCTGCTATACCTCGAAAAGCAGGTACCTAAAAAGGGGAAGGGTAGGACCCTACAGGTAATGTTTAAGGTTTGCAATGCCACACCATCGCCTAAGGGTCCATGTGCCCGCGGATTTCCGAAAACGAATAGTACCCTGAACAGTAGGATCCTTTTTATAAGGGCCCCAAAACACGGTATCCCTAATTTCGGAAACTCCCAAAGTGTACATGTGTTGGCCCCAAAGTGCCTGAATAGGGATTACTTTCAAGCCAAAGTAAAATCTTATACCAGTACATGCACCCTTGTACCCTAAACCCTATAGGGGAGTTTCCGAAAATAGGGGGCCCTTATATAGGACCCTAAATAGTAGGATCCTTATTATAGAAACCCTAAACCTCTCTTTCATATGATAATTAGAACCCTAATACCCTTAGTCGTTTAAGGTCAGGTCGGGGCCACATTCTGCAGCAAAACAGGGCCGTTCCTTTCGTGTGCCTGCTCTAAGGCCTTAGTCGTTTAAGGTCAGACCTTAAACGCCTTAAACCCTTAGTCGTTTAAGGTCAAACCCTTAGTCGTTTAAGGTCAAATCCTTAGTCGTTTAAGGTCAAACCCCTAGTCGTTTAAGGTCAAACCCTTAGTCGTTTAAGGTCAAACCCTTAGTCGTTTAAGGTCAAACCCTTAGTCGTTTAAGGTCACTCCTGGTTTAGGGCCTAGGGTTTAGGGCTTAGGCTTTAGGGTTTAGGGCCTAGGGTTTGGGCACTAGGGTTTAGGGCGAGGGTTTGGGCCCTAGGGTTTAGGGCCTAGGGTTTGGGGCCTATGGTTTTTTTAGCTCTTTCCCAAAAAAAATATCCCCCCCCCTCCCCCCTCCCTCCTCCGCCCATCTCCTCCCTTCCCCCGTCCCTCTCCCCCCCCTCCCTCCCCTTCCCCTCCCCCCCGGCCCCTCCCCTCCCTTCCCCCCTCCCCCCCCCCTCCCCTAGGGTTTTGGGCCCTAGGGTTTAGCGAGCCTTTTTACTTGCTTTACTTAAAACAAGCAAGAAACGGTGTTGACACCATAGGAAATTTAGGGTTTAGCTACAGCCGCACATGTTTCCATAGTAGTTCATTGGCAATTTCATAACTGTGAGGTTTAGGTCCTGCCGCACACCGACTGAATTTAGGGTTTAGCTTGCCCAAGACTAGCAACTAACTATGAATAAATAGCTTGCAACATATACAACAAACCTAGTTGGTTGGAAGAATCTAAGGTAAGTCTAAGCTCGACAACCTTAAAAAATTAAACCAGCTGTGGGAGCAATATGAACTGTTGTATTTTCCTAGTGGTGTAAGAAAGCGACATTAAAGTGTGACAGGCTAGGTTGCAAGTAGAACTCTCTGAATGATGATGAAAGACTTTATATGGCTTATGTTATGGGATTCTAAGGGTGGGTGGGTGTTATTTCTAAACCGTAAATACAATTCTACTTCAGAACTGCTCGATCCGGAGCTGCTGAACCCTAAACCCAAAACCCTAATCCCTACCCCCCCCAAAAAGGTACCCCCTAATTTTCGGAAACTCCCATAGAGCCCATAGAGGCGCCCTTATAGGAACCCTTTTAGGAACCCTTTGGGGGCAGGGTTTAGGGTTTAGGGTTTAGGGTTTAGGGCCCTTGGGGTTCTTTACCCTATGCCTCCAGGGCCCTTATTATGGGGTCCTTAAGGGGTCTAGGGCCCTAACTATGAGGTCCTTGGAGGGATAGGGATAAGGTTCTATCTCCCCTTTACAGGGTGTCTTCGGATACTCTTTAAGGGGTCAATACTACTAGGGTTCTATCTCTCTTGGTCCAAGTACCCAATTATCATAAACTCTCAAAAATAGGAACCTACATAACTACTATCCCAAACCCGAATACCTAATTATTGGGCCCTAAACCCTAAACCCTAAACCGTGGACCCTTAGGGCTATAAAGGGTACCATGGTGGGGACCCTTTGGGTGCCAAATCAGGCCCGAAGAGAGTGGATCCAGAAGTACCAGGCTCGTAGTCAACTAGGCAGCTTAGGGTTTAGGCTTTTAGGCTTTTAGGGGGTTTAGGCTTTAAGGGTTTAGGGTTTAGGCTTTAAGGGTTGTAGGTTTCAGGGTTTGCTTTAAGGGTTTAGGGGGTTTTGTTGTCTCTTTAGGGGTTTAGAATTTAAGGGTTCAGGGCAGATCGCCAGTTCAGGGTTTGGGGTTCTAGGTTTTTTAGGGGTTTAAGGTTTTTGGATGCTTTGGGTGCTTTGAAAAAGGCGTTGGGGTATATTATTATATCATAAAAAATAATAGGGAACCCCAAAATGGTTATGGTATTCATTTAGGCCCCGATATTATGTCATGGTAACGCTCTTGGTCTTAGGTGCCATGCAACCCTAAATGGCAACACCCTAACAGGGTTGAGGGTGTAGGTTTAGGGCTTAAAGCTTTAGGAAATTAGAGGTAGTACCCAGGGGGTCAAGGATTCAAATCGTAGGGCTTGAGGACAGCAAATACCGCGCTCTGCACGTTCTTTTGAATGTAAAACCTCTACTAATCGGGTACTTGGACCCTCTGATTAGGGCAGGGTTTGAGTGCAGGTTCTTGCCGGGTTTAGCGTGCAAGGTGGCCTAAAATGATTTACCATCCATGCATTTCTTCGCTCAAGACCTTATCACCTCCGACACCCCAAATCCCAACCCTAGAGACCCTGAAAGCCGTGAAGACGTCAGTAATCCCGAGCCCCCATCTCGCCAGAAACCTGGCAGAGAAGCCCTCGCGAAAATCCCAAGAAGTCATTCAACGCCAAACCTGAAATCCTACACCCCAAAGTTCAAAGCCCCTAGAACCCCAAAGCCCTCGCACCCTAAACCCTATCGAATCCCCAGAACCCCCAAAGGCCTACAGAAGAAGCCGAAAAGTTGGAGACCCCATAGCCTCAATCCTTAAGAGTAATGTATAGGGAATCCCAGCACTATTTGGCCTCAATCTGGTTGCCAACTTTATGGGGTTTACTGTAGAATCCCTAGAACCCCAAAGCCCTCGCACTCTAAACCCTAAACCGTATAGAATCCCAAGAACCCCCAAAGCCCTGAGCGCCCTCCCTAGACCTCCCCACGAGGCCAACTTACAAAACTAGGGTTACAAGTAAGGAACTATACTTATAATTACTTATAACCCCAATTGAGGTACTTATAACCTAACTTGCTCAGTCCCATGATCCTGCAAGTAGAGCTCCCCCACGAGGCCAACTTACTGAGAGCTTCCACGGAGGCCCGGGAGGCCCGAGGTCTCGCCGAGTTGCCTTTGGCCGCTGAGCCTGGCGCGCTCTGATGGCGCTTTCGGGCCCAAATCCCGGAGTCTCACTTGCTTAAGTCCTATATATAGTTGCCTGAATAATTACATCAGGGTTTGGGGCCCACTGTATTAGATTTTTTTTGATCAGGAGCCCCCCCAAATAGTATTGATAATTATTTTGGCACCTACAGTAACGGTCTACCAGTATGGGATCCAGAAGGCTCCAACTTTGCCACAGTAAAACCGGTTGCGGATTTAGCCCTTCGGTTGAAAGCCTGCAAAGGGCTGCTTGGAGCTGGTATTTATAGGTTTTTGACGGTCTTCATATTGCTGTAACATAGTATGTGAAACCCTAGAGTTAAGGGTTCAGTGTTCGACCAAGTATCCCTTCCTCGTTAGGGCATTGCAGAACCTCAAAGGATAGCATCTGGATCCCCGAAGAAACTGGACAGCCTAAGCCAGGCGAGGTATTACAGCAGACCCAGACAACTTCCAACATTAGTCCGGCTCCTTACTCATTACAAGTATACCTTAACAGATCCCTAAACCTTGTTCGAATCACTTACGAAGTTCCTTTGTTAGACAAGGGATCGCGGTTTAGGCATTGGGACGTTTCTAGGTTGATCCCAGCCCAAGCCCGGAGCAAGCCATTCGCCAAGGTCAACTACGCAAAAAAAATAGGGCTTGCCGTAACCCCAAATAACGTCCTTTTTGAGGTTCCTTGTTGAAAGAGGTAGGGCCAGGTTTGAGGGTCTGGGTCATTGCTTAAGCGTCTTTCGGTCCCTAGGACAGCCGAGTCAAAGCAGTCGCTCGGCAAGAACGACAGTTGCAGCATGGTGCGCTCGGTGTGACATTGATGCGTGCAAAGCAAAACCGTGGGTGGCTGCGTGTTTGGTCCGCTTCTGATTTCAGTGGTTCCGTCAAGTTCCAGAAGAGAGAAGTTTTGACCACGTTCGTTCATCCAGCAGGTAGACAAGCAGGTATTATATAAGTACACACCTTCTTCCCAACTTTTTACATCGGCACCCATGTTTCAGCATGAGACTCTAAGGCTCCATGTACCTATAAAGCACACACATAGCTTAACCTACGCATATAGGTACTGTAACTCCTACATATATATGTATACACACACACACTATACTATATAGTACCTACTACACTATAGGTACATGGGGCCTTAGGGTAACTTTTTCTGGTGGATGGGGTGTCTCTCATGATAGGGCTCGACATTGCTAAAGATGCGGCTTTGGACGGCGTAGTGGATGACATATCTGATGGGTAGGATCCCCTGATTTCCAAACTAAGGTGACCCCAAAACGGTATTCACTACACTTGAGGGTCTAGGTAACACCCGAAAGTCAAGACTCCTAAGACCCTTACCAGCATGAAACCGGGACAGAGGTCTTTACAATTCCTTCGGGTGTCTAGCATGTATTCTGGGGGACCTTCCATGGTTCTATAAGGTTACCATAGAGGTGCTACAGGAGGATCTTGCCCACCCTGATTTCTACACCCAGTAATTTACTTAAAGTACCTCAATGGGAACACCTGCGAGGCCTAAATATATACATAGGGGTCTTCGGTCTGCGCTACTTCCGAACAATTCTGCGGTCCAGAGTATGTCGGTGCCCCTCTTGCATCCATCAACCCCTAAGCCCTAGCTAACCATGCGGACCGAAAAGGGTGTTAAACAACGACAAGAAAGCTTATAACTTATAGCCTATCAGCCTATAAGCCAATGAAGCTGAGAAGCAAGAAGGGATTTAGCAGATGGTGTTTGGGGTTTAGGGTGTAGGGCTAGGGTTTAGAGCTTCGGGGATTTGCGGTGGAAGGTTTAGGGAGTTGATATGGGGTGGTATTAAGCTGTCCTGAGAGCTTTCGTCTAGCCCCCACTCTAGACCTACTATAGGGGCCTTAATAATTACCAAGACTATAGTGATATACTATACCCCAAACCCTTATTCTAGTTATTACCCATAGGCCCCAAAGTAGTTCTTTTTGCGGATTACATAATAGGATTCTAAATGAGAACCCCAAAAGGGAGCTACTTTGGGGCCTCAGGGTAAGGCCCTTAGATGACCCTCAAAGAGAGCCCAAACCCCCAGGCTGCTTGCAGCTTGCAACCGCAAACAAATTCCTAGTAGTAGAATAGATAACCTTTAACCTTTTTTGGATAGTATAGTCCCTGTAAAATTCCTATATGACCAAAAAGGTTAACCTTTAGTTCCCCATGATACCCGACAAGTAGAAATTCCGAATCCGAGAAGCCGCTTTGGGCAGTTGGGGTTTAGGCTTCAGGCTCTAGGGTCCTTAGGGTTTAGGGTTTGTTCCTGAGGGTTTAGGGTTCAGGGTTTAGGGTCCTCAGGGTTTAGGGTTTGTTCCTGAGGGTTTAGGGTTCAGGGTTTAGGGTCCTTAGGGTTCAGGATGTTGGCTGCTGAGAATTATTTTTCGATAGCAATGCAAAAATGGCCAATAGCGAACAAGAACACAGGCATTCCTAGTACTCTAGGGGCCGGCCTAAATCATTACCTATACCTTTTTGGGTGATTCCGTATCAAAACTATAGTATAATGGGCCCCCAAACCCTGTTCTAATTATTAAGGCCCTTTTTCATAGTATCCTTATAGATCCCTTATAGTAACCGGTATGGGCCCCTTTGAAGGAACCCTATTCTATGTATTTAATTAAGGCCCCTATATTACGTCATGTAGCAGCGGTGGACAGGTAAATTGGATGGCCCGGGCAGAGCACGAGTACATCCCAAACTACAAGGAGTGGCCGCGGGGGTTTTTGCTGCTTTCAGGTTTCTACACCCTGAGGGTCCATGTACCCAAATCGTATACACCTTGGCTCCAATGTACCTATGCAGAGACTATTCTAAGGCCAATGTATATACTATTTGGGTACATGGACCCTTAGGGACAGCCTTTCATGGCTGCAATTCTCGGGATTAAGTTTTGGGCTTTTCTTCTCCTTGTTGTTATAGGCCTGATCTCTAAACCTTGACATTGATGTGACTGCGTGGCTAGCAGAAGGCTGTAGTGAATGATTACCAATCGCATTGCTTTTCATGTGAGCATCCACAGACACTCGAGGCCCTTTAGCAAGGACCCTGGCTCTTACAACACTGTTCGAGAAAAATCCTTGAGCCCAGACCTCAAACCCTTACTAAACCTCAAACTCGAAATCCTAAACCCCTAAACACTACCTAGAGGCTCCATAGTAGTTCCTTTTCGTGGTTGATATTTAGAATCCTATAAGGTAAGCCCCAAAAGGAACTACGATGGAGCTTATGGGTAAACTTATAACTCTCCCTAACTCCCTAAACCTTATAAACCCACGGTCCATACCTCCAGCCCGCAAGCCCTACACCGTGCGATCCGAACACTCATCCCTCTGCATTCCTGTGCCGAAGCCAATATCATGCGGGGCTTGTTGTTTATTGTTGGGGTTTAGCTAACCATTGATATTGGAGGACTGTCTGAATAAACCCTAAACCCTAAACCCTAAAGACTTGGCATCCGGGTTGATCTTTCTCCACGTTGCAGGGGCTGAGGCCCTGAGTCCGGTTTAGGGTTTGGTGGAATTACTAGGACCTAGAGTAGGCCCTTATTCCCTTTTTTAGGGTTCAGGTTCCCTTATAAGCCCCTTTAAACCAAAAAGGGCACCCTTTTTATTGCTAGGTTATTCCAGGGTCTAGATTAAGGCTGCAGGATTTTGAGGTTTCGGGTTCTTGTTTGGATTTTGGGCTGTGGAGTGTTGACACGGTATTGTTCGAGGGCCCGGAATCCAATACCCAGAACATTATAACCGACCCCTTGCACAGGGGGCGTACAGAGGCTTGAATGATCAGTAACGTTCTGCACTGGGGTCCGGCGAGCTGCTCCCTGCCCGGGCCATTACACTTCAAGAGCGTTCGTGCATTCGTTTGCTTTGGCAGCAGTGCTTTGTGTTGGCTACCAGAACCTCTTCGAGCTCTGCTTTGCCCCTTCGGGTCCGCAGCTCCTGCTTTGCTTGACTCAGGCACTCAGGATGCTTCTTCGTGGTCCAATCCGTGCCCGCCCAGAGTTACTTCCACTGCTTTTGCAAATTTGCAGAAGGACTTCTTGAAGGCTTACACGAGTGAGATCCTTGATCAGGATACTTTACCATCGCCGCGTCTCATTGCTTTGGTGAAGCAGAATGTGGACGGCATGATCTAGCGATTCAGGTCTTATGTCTGGTGCGCATGAGTGGCCTAAGCCCCTGAACCCGAAACCCTGAACTTGAAACGAGGTCGGGGCAGGGTACCCTTAACACTCATCCTTAATGAGGGCTCGCAAAACAGTCACACCCCTTGGAGCCCTCTTGTGAAAAGAATCCTTTATATGGTTTTGGGTTTAGGGTTTAGGGCTTGTAAGTTCCTCTTTCAACTCTGCACAACAGCTACGTTAAGCTGTAGAAGACGAACTAGTCGCCAAGACTCTTCCTTCTATGATTGTAGTGGAATACACCCCGAACCCTAGTGCACTTCTAGTTCATCTATTGAGGCCCCGTAACCCCTAAACCCTTACCGAAGGCCTTAAAAGGCCCGCTTAAAAGGAACGGTTCAAAGGAGCCGCATTTCTAATCCCAAATGCTCCGAGGGGATTAAATACCTATGGGGTGGGTACCTGCCCAAACCATAGTAGTAAGTCCGAGTACATTAGAGAAACCCTAAACCCTAAACCATATACGATCCCGAAAACCTAAACCCTACACTGTACTAAGGGTAGTCAGAATCACTGGGGACTGGCTAAAGCCCTTTTTTTGTAAGGGTCCAAAAGACCCAATAATCAGGTACTTGGGTGTAGGATAGTAGTTTTGCAGGTTACTTTTTGGGAGAGTATATGATTATTAGGTACTTGGACCCTTAAGGGGAACTCCAGAAAGTTGGAATATGGTTTCAGGGTAGGATACCTTATAATTTACCATAAAGGGTTTAGGATAACCATATTCCAACTTTCTGGCTTTTACTTTAGGCTTTCTGTAAGCTCGTGAGGCACTCCAGGTCG